AAACTAGCAATTCTTTTGTCCTATGATGTAGGTCTAGCACAAGAAATTGGGTTTATTTTTATTATTTTATTTTACTTTTATCATTATTATTATTATTTTATTTTATCATTAAAAAAATCCAAAATCTCTGATTTAGTTAAAACTGGGAACTGGACTATAAAGCAGTCAGATGGGATGGGTGATGAGAAGGCGCGTTCTGAATGGGTAAGGAGGAAACGTTTTCCCTAGTGCCTGCTCCCAAGCTGCTCCTCCATCCCATGTCTCACGTGACCCAGCTGGACCCACAGGCCTTCCATCGCCAAGAACCTAGAGATGCGCTCGGCAGTTCTGTACAAAAGGCAGAACCCAACTCGGCCACGAGAATTTTGGTCTCATGGAGGCCGTCCGTGGCTCACACAGGCTAAGATGCTCACTGGGTAAAACTGCCTCCCCAGGGCTCTGTAGCATCTCCCCTCTCACGCTCTGCGTGGCACTGTCAATGCACCCAGTGGGCACAGCACCCTTTACGCCGTAAGCTCGCCAAGACGCAGGGGGCCACCTGACCCCTCATCTCCATGGCCACCAGCCCTGGCTTGGGCCCTCTTTGTATCGCCTCTGCCCTCAGACGGAAATGGACCACAGCTGTCTGCAGACCCAAACGGTCCACCCACACACAAACACATTCTTCCTGAACAGCCTAACATCTCCAGGGAAGAGGAGATGTTTTTTATTCCTTTTCATTCTACCTGTGCAAAAAAAAAAAAAAAAAAAAAGAAAGTAGAAAAAAAATCCTAGCCACTTCATCTAGGTATTAAAGAGAGCAAAGGTCAATACACTTCTTCAGGGAACATTCCTTCAAAGTAACGCATCGCCCAGGCCTGCGATAAGCCCGAATCTCCAGGAAACCCCCCAGGTCGGGCGGAGGAGAGGAAGGAGCCTCGGGGCACGTACATTTCGGTGATGGTCTCCGGCAGGTTGGTGGGGATCTCCGTGAGGCCTTTCCCGCGGCAGTCCACGATGTTGTTGCTGCAGGAACAAGCGGCAGGGCAGTGAAGCACACTGCAGGACGGGGCCATGAAGGACTGGTGACCTAGGACAGGCGACACACGGACAGCAAGTCAGCGTTGCCTCGGATGTCACCACTGTGACATGCGCTTAGGTCAATTAACCGAGCACCTGGCAGCGATCGGTGTGTTTAAATGCCTGATCGCAAACTGGTCCTACAGTTCTAAGAGCATGCATTTATATTTGGGGGTCAATATTGACAAGAAGCAAGAGAGATTTTAAAACTTGGTCATAAAAAGAGTCATTTCTAAAATTTGAAAAAAAAAGGGGGGGGGACATGAAGCCAGAATTCTACTCAAAACTATTTTAAGATCCAAAAAAAAAAGGAGGCAGCACTTTCAGATTTATCTATATCCATTTCTAATAGCTTCTCCATAGCTCGGTCTTTCCCAAATTCCTGTGGCTTAATTTACTCGGTCTCAAACAGGACAAGAGGATAGTAAGATTTCCACCTTCGTGGACATAACTGCTTCTTACATAATGATGAGCTCGTACATGCGATAACGTTTAGACCGTGCCGAGCGTGGTGTCTACCTAGGTGCGAAGTGGCTGCTTTCTTTGCAGCTCTAATACCGTGTGTCCGACAGTCTGGAATGGTTCTCGCTATGGGTCTGTGTCTGGCTTTGCAAGACTGAAAGCCTTAGCATCAGCAGTGACCTGCAGCTGTCTTTTCACCTGTCCGGACTCAGAAGCAAAGCTACTCTGAAACAGGTTGTACTGTCAAGGGATGAATGACGTGATGCTAGCAGGAAGGCCCCACTGGAGCATCTGCAGAGGTGCACGCCAGGTCAAATCAAGGAATGCCCTCTCCGACCTGTGGCCTGCGGGGGAAGGACCCTGACCACAGACCTCCAGGGAGAGGATGCAGTTGGCTGGCGGGTACCCCAGGCCCTCTAGACAAGCCCTCAAATGATACTTTATAACACTCTTAGTCTGAAAAAGAAACGTGAACTTGCCTTCTTCCTCATCTAGAAAACAGGAAGGGAAAAGTAAAGAGAGAAAAAAGTGGTTAGTCATGAGTTGTTAGTCATTCCATTAATTAACTTTTTAAAAAGCAATCAGACCGACTGAGAACATTGCATGATGTTATAAGAGAATTTCTTTTCGGGTCATAAAACAGTGTGGAAAACACATACAAAGGTCTGGAAGATACTGAGGTAGACTCAAGTACTAGCGAAGTCTCCCCACTCTGCCTTTCAAAAAATGGGTGAGGGTGGTGTATCACACATCTCAAGTTTTTGTTTTATTGTCTTTTGAACAGACACTTCTGAGGCAGAACCAGCTCCGTATTTAAAGGGCAGTACTATTATGTCTACAGATAGCTCCTGTGGTGGGAGTCGGGCTGCCCAGGTCGCCACCCTTGGACTCTCTCTGAGACCTGGACAGGCTGTTCTGCTTCCCAGTCTTCGATATAGAGGTGGCACTGCACTTCGCACGTAACTGTTGGGGTGGAGGTCAGTACACGGGGCCTGCTGTGGCCGGTGCTCACGCATCTGAACACTCAGCACACATCAGCTACTGAGATTTTATAGCCCGCATCTCAATTGTTTCCAGATTGGTGTTACCGAAATGGGGTTTATTTAATTTGGTAGCACTGAACAGTTAGGACACAGGTACCCGTGCAAACCTGTCACCACGTTGCAACGACAGTTAGATCAGCCCCTGGACGTCACGGCGAGGGTCAGCATCAGCTGACCGGTTTTCCACCGTCAGCGTATACACAGACAGAGACTAGCTGTCGGCCAGGAACTCGTCATAGCTCCCCTCGCGGGAAAGGGGAAAAAAGCCCTGGACACAACGTGGGCACTGGAACTCCGTTGTCACCCACCATGTCCCCGTGTAACTGTCACCAGAGCAGGGGTCCTCGGGGCCTGATGAGCAAGTGCCCGTGTTCGCGTAGCACCGAGGCCCGGGGACCGCACCCCTCACACCCTCACACCCGCTGCGTGGCAGCAACATCATGGGCCCTGCCACGCCGCCCTGTCCCCTTACCACTGCAGACAAATTCTCGCTTCTGGACCTCGGCGACGTTGTGGCCCCGCAGGTGGGCCGGGCCCATGCACTGCGTGTACAGCCCGACACGAGGCCGTTGGCGAAGCCAGTCGGAGAGCCAGGCCAGGTGGCAGTCACAGAGCAGGTTGTTGGAATGAAGCCGACTGCGTGGGCGGAGAGGCGTGCAAAGTGAGAAGACGGAACATTGTTATTCCAAACTTGAAAGACGCGTCGATAATAACAATAAAATACATTTCTCTCTCTCTCTCTCTGTAGAGATATTTTTGCTGTAGGGAGTGTGTGCTCATCAGAGAAACAGAGAGACAGAAAGTAAGAAATCATCTCCTGGGAGGATGGCCACGCCACAGTCCCTTCTCCTCCATTCTCCTCCCAGGATGTTGGGCACGCACACACACGTGCCCGGCATGAGTTTTAAGCTGCTAGGTCCAAGGCTCGAACCACAGTTGACTACGTGGGAGTCCAACAGTGTAACCATTACGTCATCTGCTGGTCCCAAAATACATTTATCTCTTAACACAGAAAAAGACAAAGCTTAGCAAGTTCTAATGTAATTGTTTTTCTAAAAACTAAATTAGTTTACAAGCACAGCATCAAGTCTCTCTTCAATTACTCAGAGCTAAGCAAACATACAGAAACTTGAACATGATCTAAAAAAATCTCTTTTCTACGTTCATTCAAAAGGTGCAGGGAGCGCGGGGCGCCCGGCGGAAGCCGCGCGG